AGTCTTTAAATGTTAAGAGTGCAGTTGTCAGATTTTTAATGTTGCAATAAAGTTTTAAACAATGGGTTGATGTAAAATGCTACTAACTTTTTACATGTGTTATAAGAAACCCTGTGTACTCTAGTTGATGGAAAACCTCCAGTCAAACATTGCTCAGAATTGCTAGAAGTAAAATAAAAATCAAATTCTCCTTATCATGTGCATCGTGAGAAGCATAATTTCTTCTGGTTTTGTTTCCTCATTGTCTATGTTTTATGGATTTTGTATGGATCCTGACATTTAATTTAACTCCTGTCTCTATTAGGGAAAAGATGGTACAGTATAAGAGGTCAACAGTTAAAATGTTGGCGAATATGTTGGGGTGTAACCTGGCATAAGCCACATTGATAACATGTAGTTCAATTTGAATAGTATCCATCTGGAAAGGCTCCTGTAGAAAGTGTTTCGAAAAGGGGAAAGGCATTCAGTACGATTCCACAAGCTAATTGAGGTAAAACACTAAGGGGCACCGTCTCATACGTTGAGTTTTTTTGAAGGTTTTACGGCACCAATGGGCTGTACAATGGGCTGACAGGAAAGGGGGTAGGAGAGAGGGGAAGAGACCTGCAGCAAAGGACCACAGGTCAGATTTGAACCCGGCGTTCTGTCAGATGAGCATACCCCGTCGCGTTGTTGATGTTGTTTTTTACTAACAAGAACCAGATAGGATAAATCAATATTCTACTCCTTTTTGGTAACATGGTTAAAGAGAGGTTTCAATCTGTGCATAATCCGCTCTAACCTAATCTAAATAAAACCAAATGGTATTGATTTAAAATAAGTCATTTTACTAGCGATAATGCTTGCAAACCTGGATTTTTTTGCTTAGGATGTTAAACATTAAACTATATAGTTAATACCAGTATAATGCTCTATTAAGGAGTAGTTCGAAGCTGATTGGCTCGCTTCAGAGACGGATCAGCTTCTGATTGATGGAGGTAAGTCAGAGTTTCTTCAATTGAACTTCCGCTAGAGCTTCATATTAGAACTCAAAGTAAAACTGGTTTTATAGAAAACCGACTTTCCACTTCTTCAATCAGTTAGTATATAGTGAAGTGGAAAAAAAGGAAAATGCTTTAACTTTTTAACATTTGCAATGCTCATAAGCAATCCTTTAAAATGAACCCGTTATGATTCTGGAGTCGGATTCTTGTTAATTAAGTATCCTGCCTGCACTGCAGATGCTGTTTTTTTATTTAGTGAAAACAAAGATGTCAAATAGAAATGTGATGAGTTATTTTTTATAAAAAAGTAAAACTGAAAACAAATGACAGAAGGACTGGTCATTTATCTAAAAAGGATATCTTTGACAAATCATTCATGCAAAACTCTGCATCCGCTACTGTTCCATCGAACCGTTTTTCTGTATTCTTCTGATGATGGAAATGTTGTAGCACTAGTAATTCATTTCAGTGCAAATATTTTTCTCGCCCTGACCTGTCAGGCTTACATTTCTTTCTGATAATTGTGTTTTTCATAAGCATAAAGAGGACCATTTAAAGGCTTAATATTTTGAACCGTGCATTCACACATAAAAAAAAGCTTATCATGCATAGGCTGCAAAATTACATAGTTCTGAGAATATATTGTGGGTGACTGGTAGGTCAGATTGCTTTAATGTGCTTTCAAACTTTACAGTACAGAACCCTCCTAAATGGGCCTGCCCAAGGCAGACTGAAGCAACTGTACAGGGCTTTAGGGAAACTGATTGGCCATCAAGCAGTGGCAGCTTGCCAAAAGAGGGCACTAGGGCGCTGCCCTACCAGACCAATGACCTTGATTAAGACAGAAAAAAAAACAAATTACAAGCAAACAAATTGTGCTTCCAACATGTACATCTGACATGTTGGATGTACAACTTTTATTTCTCATTAAAGTTGTACTTGTGCTGTTGCTCCTCTCCAATACAGAAGTATAGGAGAGCTCTTGGAGCACCAAAGCTATGCCCTTAAGTGGAACTGTCATCACAGTTGCTCTACAGGGGATTGACAGTGGGGGAGGGAAGCAAACTTAACAAGAGAAGCTGGAGGTGAAACGGTTTAGAGCTGATCAGCTGAACATCAAACTTAATCAGCGGTCCAAAAATAGATGAAACGGTACACTCAAGCTTTTTCCAGGACCTGGTTTAGCTACAAGGCTTGGCTAACTGTATGCAGTGAGGCTAACGCTTTATTCTGCTTTCCTGCTTCCCTTTTCAAACGCAAGGATGTTACCCAGCATGGATAAAGACAGGAAGGAATGATTTAAAGCAGTTTTTAGAAAAGGCAAAGAAGGATGAACAACCTAAGATTCAAACGCAAAATAATATATTAAAGGTACTTTTCTATATGTTTGTGAATTTGCAAAATAAATCGTTTTTATATATTGAAAAATTATAATGCTGTCTAATAGCTTCTTCATTACTACAGTATACTGGTACATTATATTTTTAGATTTGTGACACCATATTGGACCATGCAAAATACAGATTTACCTTCACAAAGCCTCAGAAAGGCAACATTTATGTACAAAAAGTAAACCCCTACATGAAATTATGTTTTGTTTTTTATAAAATGTTTTTAGAATCTTTTCTCTTGTTTGCATTCACATAAATATACCAGTGTGATAACTTGGTATACGTTTGACTTGTTTTTGGTATAAGTCTATTTTGAATTTATAGTCCCCCGTGGAAAAAACACCACCAGCCGCCACTGCCATAAAGACAAACAAATTACCTCCAACAAAGAGTTTATGTTTTAGGAGAGTTTGTTTGTTTGTCTGTCTGTCTCTGTGTACAGGATAGCATGGAGAATTGTGAACTTATTATTATGAAAGTTTTAGCAGAGGTGTACATCATACCAAGGAACAATCTATTAAAATTTGATGATGATCCAGATCATAATCCGGATACAGAATTTATTTTTTTAAAGGGATTCTCTATCATTGTGAGATTTATGAAGGAAACAAGCAGTTTCTCCCTAAACCAGAAAGTGGCAGCAGCGACCATTGAAAGCTGAAGCATTTGACTCAAAAAGTCATGGTCCGGTCCAGGCAAGCTAGATTTAGCTATCGGTCACAAAACAAGGCAAAATGTTTTTCTAGTATGTTTTTTGGAACGTGTAGCTTTTTGTGTATGATTACAATTACAACACACAATTTTATGATAAAATGTTGCTTATTTTAAATTAATATATCTTCAATCTGGTTCAAAGGGGCCAGATTGACACACAGACCAGTGTAAACTTCTCCAAGACAAACTTATCTTTGGAAAACTTTCTGACAGTGCACTGGATTTAGAAATGGAAAACCTTTCAGACATTTAGAAGCAGAGATTACGTTATTTTCTCACTCAGCTCTTGAACTGAGATCTAAACTCTCCCCAACTCTTCGGGTAGCTCTTAGGATGACCTGCACTCTCCATGTGATTGTTATATCTGCGGAGATTAGCTTTTTTCCAAGCTCAAATGAAGAAAGAACTACCCAAGATCTTCCATGGCATAAAAACGTCTTATATGTGGCTAAGAGTAATTTATGCTATCAAAAAGAGCTTTTGCATAAAGTTATATACTTTAACATAGTTTTTTTTTCAACAAATTATTTAACTATAAATAAAATTTCATCAACTTCATATTATTTACGTTATTCAAGAAGCTAATTTGTATTCTACTGTTTATTTAACACAAATATTTTCGCTTTTATTCTATTCCATTTTTCTTTTTTTATTAAAGCAAATGTATTTGCTGCTCATTTACTACAGGTTATTTTTGCATATTGCAGTTGCAGTTGGAATGAAAAAGTATAAACCACGCAACCGTTTTGCTGTAAATATAAAAATAACTAATATTCTATTATCAATAGATTGTAAACAGGCACTGCAAGAACTGCAATGGTTTTACGATTGGTGTTTGAGTGATCTGATTATTCAACTATTAATTGCAGGAATCTCTAATATTGGCAGAAATAATATATAAAATTAAATTTAGGTTAGGGCCGCATGAAGGCTTCTGAGCACTTTTTAGTTTGATAAAACCATTTGAGAAAGAAAGTCAAAAAGCCTTTTTGGTTTACAGTTTTAAGAGCATTATGTGTAAATGTGTGGTGAGTCTAAAAGTAGAAGTAGTAGTTTTCACCCAAAGGGTCTGTTTTTAAGCTTCTGTGCCATCACAGTGTACTATGTCTGGTGCATAATTGTAAAAAGGGAAATGCATATTTGGGAATAAAAATATAAACTTTTAATTTGTTTTCTCTCCCTTTTACAGGTTTTAAATTTGCATTTCAAATTTTAAATAATTGTGTTTACTGTAAAGTGGAGTTTTTTTTAAATATTTTCAGTAACTCACTGTTCACGTTTTCAAGTGTTGCAAAAATTAAGTTCAAGTCAGCAGTCAAGTGCTGTGAAACCTTTTTATAACTTGTTATAAGTGGAGTTTCACAGTTTCAAGTCTGTATCAGTCTCCCGTAGCTCAAGGTTGTATCGTGACACATTATAAGAGAGGCTTTAAAATTCACTGGGTGCACTTTTCACTTAATCTAAAACTAATGACTCTTTTCCATTCTATTGTAAACCGCTTACTGCAGTTTGAGACTAAACACAGCTGCTACATTTGCCCTTGTGTGAACTCAAACATAACTGACCTCAGAATATTTCTATCATGAACACATATCCATTGAGGCAAATATGAGTTCTGTCACCTAATTGATTACGATTATGGCAGCAAGAGTGTGGATCACAAACTGGCTGAATAGCTCACCACGAGCATGTGTTTTTGGATGTGAGATGATAATGAGTATAGCATAAAACACTGACGCCTGCTTTCATTCATCAGCAGTGACGTCGCTGTTTAAGTGAGGCGAGGAAAGTTTTATTTTATTTGGGAAACCACTGCCAGTGGAACTCCTCTGCAAGGCTGGGTTGTAACTTGAACCCCAGGAGCTGTAAGAGAGGGAGAAACCAAGGGAGAAAGACACGGGGAAAGAAATAGGGAAATGAAGGGAGGGGGAGGGAAGGAATGAAAGGCATAGAGAGAGTAATGTCAGCTGAGCTCAGAAAGTAAACAGAGGCAGAGATTGCAGCATGCTGTCTGCGGGACGGGGAATACAGCTGAGGCAAACCCACAGGAGCACTCGGACAGTTGGATGGACAAACACCTTTATGTCCAGAGGAGAGGGCTGGCTCTTCTCCTTCTCCTTAATTTTCATCTCTTTCCCATTGGGGACAGCATGGCCATTCGGTAAGAGCTGTGCTGTGACTTTACCTTTACTGCACTTGTTTGTTTCCCTCTTCCTATCTTTGTTTCTTTGTTCTCAACAACCCAGCATCCACACTGTTTTCATTCTCTCTCTCCTCTTGTCAGTCCATGCACTCCAGCCAATAGTTGAACCACAGGAATCAAAGCTTAAAGTCTATTTATTGCTGTTTTTACAGATAAAAAGACAAGTCAGTGCATGTCCTTGTCATCACATCCCTCAAGAGGAAACATTTGTCCTTTGAAGCCTCAGTGAAGATGATGAACTGTTTTGTTTTTTCTTCTGTTTTTTGTGAGAAAAATAGAAAAAGTTATTGTTATAAAGAATCACCAACAAAGCAATAGTAGGATGCCGTCATGCATTCCTTTAGGTAAACTAAGGCACTTGAAGTCTTAATGATCCAGTTGAATCTTGGCACTCTTGCCCTATTGTCTAGGAGCCCTTCTTTAAATGCTCAAGCATGTTGTGAGGAGAATTAACTACGACTGTCTGAACTGCTGGAAGACATGAGTCACTTTTGAGTCAATTACCCTTGCTAATGTGTATACCATAAACCATCCCAGATATACCCCTGCCCCTTGGTATGATCCCCTTTAGGATGCTTAAATTTCAATAAAACTATACATACAGATGCTTGAGTGTGACATATGGCTGAGCAGCTTGCAGTAAGTGTAGTTTTGACAGATTTGACTAATTCTGTTGTTGTCAGCTTAATTTTCCCCTACTTTTCTTGTTTCATAATCAGATGAAGACGATGCTGATCCATTGCACAACATTAAGTGTGTTTTCTTTTAAAAGAAAAAAACAAAAAACATCTTTAGGGGTTGTTTACACATGTGTTTCTGCTTGTGTTTATGGCAGTTCGGTCATGTTTTGGTGTCCTTCTCTGGCTTTTTGATGTGCATAAGACTTCCTGTTTAGGATTCCCTGTTCTGTCTCCTGTTGCTCTTTGTGTTTAACTAAAACCCACGCAGAATTACTCATTTGAGTTCCCTGGTATTGCATAGCGGGGAAGCATAGACTAAAGCCTGCAACTATAAGAAATGGAGTTCCAACCAGATGTTTACACACAACAAGTTGTTTTTACATGCTTTCTGATATTAAATCTAACCTAAATATTTCTGGTTTATTTCAGATAAAATTACTTACATTATTCCTATTACTTAAATGACAGAATATAGAGGCAAAAAGGGTTCAAGGTTAGGGGTTTTATATGATTATTTATATTTTTATGGCATTGTTGGGTCTGGGTATAATCACTGGAAGAGTAAGATAAGATGATACCAGACTGTCGTCTTCAAATGTAACAATGGCCATTATTATCAAACACTTTGATTTAAGTTCCACCTCCGCAAGGGAGATGGATACCAAAACAAAGTTTATTCTCTTGAGACTTTTTTCCAGTTTTAATTTGGCTTTTGTATTTTGCTTTTCTGTATGACTCCTATGTGCGTCCTGTACCCTAGTGGTACAGGACGCACATAGGAGACTCATTTAACTTTGTGTTACCGCTTTCAGCCACTATTTTCATATGAACATTTTAAACCAGAACATCTTAATTTCTTAGAGACAGAACCATATTCTTTCCAGAGGAATGGCTGCACATTCAAATGCTATTTATACTTGTATATGATTATTTGACCAGATGGACTTGGTAACTACAGACATCCACAATTTCCCCATTGTGGGAAGAGGATTTTCTATTCTATTCTATTCTATTCTATTCTATTCTATTCTATTCTATTCTAGGAGTTGAACCCAACGATAAATTACACTGTTTTAAGTCCATCCACAGTTTTTCTCCCATTATCCTGACAGCTTAAAAAAATGTTTTTTTAAGATGTCACAAATGAAAGACGAGCATTTGAACTAGAGTCTTGATTTAAAGCACGTCCACAGTTAGGCCCCTATTTAACTCAAATATTGAAAATAACTCCAGAGAGGTTTTCATAAAGTTGGCACTTTAAACATATTTAAAGTATAAACTTCTGAATTAGTAAAAAAAAATAGAAGATAAAATATTTGATTAAAGACCTCTCTGTCAATATCCAGTTGATAGGCAAATTTTGACTATCCTACCTGACCAAAAACAAGAAACATTTATCTTTTAAAATTCCATAAAAAATAGCCATATTTCTTAAACAGAGAATATTTTTTTTTTACTGTATACTCAAACAAACTATATGTTAAAAAAAGAAGTGTAGTGACATATTCCACTTTTATGCTTGCTTGGAAGTAGAGTTTCATGTCAGACTTAGTTTAGAGCACAGACCTATAGTTTAATACTAGGTCACACACTTTTATAAGCATTTCTACACACTGCTAACCTACAGAGAAAGAATGTGTGGAAAGACATTTAATTCCATCTGTGGTTTTCAGTTTAAAAGAAAAAAATATATTTAAATCAATCTACCTCGACTGGCCAATCAGATCAGGCCTCTGGGATCTCTTCAGACAAACATTGACCACAGTGCTGCCCTGGGATTTTCCCCTTTGCATGATAATTAAATCACTCTGACCTCAAAATACCAGACAGCTGTTGTGGGCAGCAAGAAAAAGAAACTGTATACCCCCATACAGCACATATCTATACTGTTCCTTCTATCACAGCTGCTGCATAACTCCCCCCCCCCCCCAAATCATACATTAGTGTAAAATAAGCTTAGAAATGTTTTAATAATACAACTAAACTTCTTGATTTGCTGATTTTTTTTTTCTGAAATTGTAAAATTAGTCACTTAAAACACTAAAAAGTGATTTTATCTGCCTTGATGAAATCTTAATGTGCTTTTAAGCACTAAATTATAGGCAATAACCAATTGTGTGGTCAAGCAAGAGCAAAACAGCAAGAGCAAAACACACTAACCTAACTAAAATGACTCGAAGTGATTATGTCACAATTCAGTTTGTTTTCCCAAGGTTAGGCTACAAGGCTACAAATAAAATGAAACTGTTTCCTTACCCTAATTTAACAGAACCCAACCCATTAATGTGCTTCCAGTGAAAAACTGTAAAAACAGATCAAATGTTTCCGCCAATGTTGGCATCAAGAAGAAACTGCAAGTGAAAAATAGAAGACATCTCGTTGTGCCAAATAAAATGATTGCTTATGCCCACCCCGGTTATGACATATATGAGGAACCGTTCCAACACAAAATATGAGGTCCTGATTAATTCCTTTCACCACAAATTGTCTTTAGCTAAGTTTGCAGGTTCTTTCTATGCAGCTTCTTTCCAGCTACTCTGATTGACGATTCTAATGTGATGGAAAAAAATGTTTTGAGAATATTTTTATTTATTTATTTATTTATTTTTGTAGCTCTTCTTTTTTACTGAAAGAAATATGTTTTAAAATATTTGATCTATTCTTAAAATGGCTGTGACTAAGGATAGGTACATTTTTTATGGAATGGAAAAATGAAAAAGAGTTTTGAATCAGCAACAATAAAAGAATAATATAAGCCTGTTCTGAAATGTCTTGTATTGAAAAAACAGAACAGCTTTGTTTATCAAATGCTGAAAAATAAATGTCAGGTGGGTTTGGCATTTTTTGTGATCAATAAGATCTGTAATGTGAATTGAGCCACTGAGGCTGACAGGAACTTATTCTCTGCCTGCTTCCTCCTCCCACACATGGCGATTTGTCAACATGAGGACAATGCTGACAATGCCAGCCTTAAACTGACTTTACATTGGTATGGCTGCCCTCATATTACCAATCTGAAAATGAAAAGTCTTCATGTGATTCCTGAGATCATGGTGTTAGAGATCATATGTTTAAATATCCTCACTCCCTGGCCTGTTTTTTTTTTTTTTTTGTTCTAAAAAGCTTATTTCCATCTCTACCAATAAGCAATCTACTTGTTGTTTGTCCAGCGTTGTTTTTGGAGCTGGAGTTGGTTGATTTGCTCCCCCCCTAAATCACCTAATTTCAGCCTTTTTTTTTGACAAGAATCTTAAGACAAGTTATGTAAGTTTTAGGTCAGAAAAAAATGTTTCCTGCATATTTTGTGGAAGTGATTCACTAAATGATGATCCTCCTTTATCAGTTTTTGCAGATCTGATTTTATGTGACCTTTGGTCTAAAGTTTGTGCTTTAAAACTCTGTATAACAATGTCTCAGGCACCATTACTACCGTGGGCATGGTAACCAAAGATTTACAAAGGTTATGACTTGGGGCAGATTTGACAAAGTCTCAGCAATTTTAAGCGTTAACTAGAACAGTGTTTTTATTGACATAGACTCTTGACATGCATGCTGAGCAGCGTGTTTGGAAACTCTGTATCTGGAATGGAGCAAGCAGACACTTCTTACATAAGAGAAGATGAACATCCCCCACAAAAATGTGCAGACTTAAAAAAACATACGGCTGAAAAGAGAAAAAAAAAGCTTTTCTGACCTTTATAAGGATTTTATTCCTTAGAGTTTGTCACTAATCCTATTTTACCAACAATCCTATACCTATAACTAGACAGCTAAAAGGCACAATGGATTATGAATTTCTTTTTAGCCAGGGAACCACGCCGATGACTGTCAACACCTCCGATTTGTGATTAAATACACATTATGTCTGGGCTCATTGCAAAACCAAAATCTGGAAATGAATTATAATGTGTTCTGCATGTTTAAGTAGTTTTTTTTTTCTCCCATATTTTAATTATTATTGTTAGAGTCTCTAAAATAATCTAGATGAACCTGAAAAGGACATCTGTAAAAATGCTAGAAAAAGGAAAAGTGGTTGTTTGCAGGCCAACAGCTGTGCATTGATAATTTCACACATGTTCTGACCTTCTTAAACTGCCATAAAATCCTCATGACATTTCACCAGTTCAGTCTGTAATAACCTGCAGGTGTTCAACTGAGCACCCAACAGATGTTCTTTTACAGGGTGGTAATCTCATTGATAAAAGGGACAAATTTAAAGAGTCAAAAAGCAAGCCTTGCGTCTGGTGAACGCTTATAAAGGAAAGAGAAAGTAAAGAT